CTACAGGAGTAGGCCAAACCTTCTTCTGCTGTCTGCTCATTTCTTTTACCCTCAGAGCAAATGCCTGTTTCTAAGCAATTACCAGCTCCATGGTTGTTAACAGCCCAGTTCTCCCTTTACCTTACCTCCCAGATACTTGTATACATTAGTGTTTGCATCTGCACAAGTGCCACCTAAATCTTTAAAAGACCAAAATGCATGTGTTTTGTCTGATGGGGGTGTGCAAAGTGGGCCCTATTCAATTTGGATTTGGCCCAAATCGGGGACAATGATTCAATTTGTTGATTTGGATCACTATCCCTGATTTGATTCAGCCAAATCCAAATCTGAAAATTCGATGCTGATTTGGAGAATCAGCGATTTGGCCAGAGACACAGCTTTAAATGCTTTTTCTACATACCTCGAGGTACCAGCACAGCTCATGAGCACTGTGATGCTGGGGTGCATGGAGCATCCCACAGGAGCGTGGGAGGGGGTCCCCCATGTGCTTGGCAGTGAACCCGGAAGTACTTCTGGTTCACGTCCGGGTCCGCCAGGGAGCGCTCTGGGGGGCCCCCCCCGCAGCCCCCTGGCTCAGCGGTTGGCCACGGGGGGACCCTGGGTGCCCCCCAGCCCCAGGAAACACCAGTTGCCGAGCCAGGGGGGTGCAGGGGCCCCCTTGCGCACTCTCTGGCGGACCCAGAAGTGGACTGGAAGTGCTTCTGGTCCACTTCCAGGTCTGCTGCCGCGTGCGCTGTGAAGCCTCCCATACTCCTGTAGGACACCCCATGTGTCCCACAGCATAGCAGCATTCACAAGCTGCCTGCTACATTGAGTTATGTAGAAAAAACTTTTAAAGTTGTGTGTCTGTCCAAATCACCGAATCTTTGTGAATTGATTCAGAGGGTTCCGATTTGATTCGGAGAGATTAAACAGTCCTCTGATTCGATTTGGATTCAGAGATTCAGCCACCAAATCGGGCCGAATCGAATCAGGGATCAAAGCTTCGCACAACCCTAGTGTCTGCCACCTGGCTGCCATTTCCCACATTTAATATGATAGATTTATATGTAAGGCACTGTTTACTGTATTTTTTTAGCAGCATGAGGATTGTAAGGAAGAGAGAGAACCATATTTGGATAGCAGCATGCAGTAAACAGAATAAGTCAATGGGAATAAATACTAATAAGGTGTGTTTATTCTTAATACATTTCAGTGATTATGCTACAGAGGTATTGGCTGAATTGACTCAGTTGGCTCTGATCTAAAAGTATCTTCCCTAACACTGTTCAGTGCTAAAGTACTGCAAATGTGACTTGTAATAATGTCATGCTGTTGCTGGATTCTTAAAGTCCAGAGTCTGTTCTATACCCATAGAATTTTCAAACTAGAAGAGATGCATTTTTTGGGGGGGGTCCTGAACAATACATTTCCACCTAACTAAAAATTCAGTTAAGATCTGATGGTATTTAATAGATTTTGTAGGTATGGCCAGGGGTGGATCCAAGATTTCTGGAGGGATGTGAGAGCAGCAACCTGCACTGCATCCTCTGATCCCAGCCTACTCTAGCCCTACTAGTGCAGGCCAACTTTAAGTCCCTAAAGCAGGCAAAAATCCCCCCTCCCTTCATCTTCCTGCTCAGAGGTACAGCCCATCCCCTCCTCTTCCCCAACTACCTGCAGCTACTGCTTTTTCTGCTGCTCAGAGCATGGAAGCTCCTGGGCTGAGATGTGGCTGGGCTCAGCTGGCAAGGGGACAGCAGCAACAGCTTGGCAGGAGAGTAGTTCCCTCCCCACCACCCAACTCTTCCCAGTCATGGCATCGGGGGGAGGGAACCCCCACCCTTCCCTACTGCTGTTGTCACCACCCCCTGCTCACAGCCATCCCTGCGCAGAGGGCAGAAATGGTTCCGATACTTCTTTGCTCCCAGAACACCATGGAAAGTCAGGCAAGGAAGCAGGGGAAGGGATGGAGCAGGAGCCTGCCTTTAAGCAGAAAGGGAGGATTTTTACAGGCTGTCGGGCAGGGGCAGGCAAAATACGGCCCACAGGCTGGATCTGGCCCACCAGGTAATTTAATCTGGCCCAAAGGCAGGTGCCTACTAGTTCACTATATCCAGCCTGGCCTCAGGCTGCCCCTGCTGTGCTCCCATGGGGCCAAGCCCTGCTCACTCCTGCAGGGGCAGCACACACTGTGTTCCCACCCTCGCCCATGGGATGGCCCTGACCTCAGCCCTACAGGTAGGAGCGGCAGCGGTGGCGGGCAGGGCAAGGGATGCAGTAGCAGCAGACAGGTAGGAAGTAGTGTTGGGTGGGGACAAGGAGTGGCGACAGGCAGGAAGGTAGGGTAGCAGCAGGGGAAAGGTGGTGGGTGGGGGAGTGGTGGTAGCAGTGGTGGGCAGCAGCAGCAGCAGCAGCTGGGCAGAAGTGCAAGGCCCATGCTGGTGCCCCGGGGCCAGGGCCAGCAGGGAGCCAAGGCAGGGCAACAGGAGTGAAGAGTCTAGACTCGCAGGGGCGTGGGGGTCCACCAGACTCTATCGCACAAGGCTCACATGCAGTTCCTGGGTTTTCTGCCTGAGCCGCACACCTGCGGGGGGAAAGGGAGGGAAGGGGGGCAGCCCCATGCGGTGGAGCAGGTGACTCAGCCCCACTCACAGCCACATGCAGGTCACGGGGAACAGCGGGGAGCTCCATGCTATGGAATCAAGCTGGCTCTGCCCCTCTCCCTGATGCCCCAGTTGAGCCCCATGACCTGGACTGCCGGCTTCAACATGTGACACTTCCCCAGTAGCATATGGCTTGGGCATGCAAGCCCTATGTGATGGAGCCTGTGGCCCGGCCACATGCAGTCCTGGGGCTCACTGGGACCACACCGCTGGGGGGTGTGCACCCATGAGCACCCTGAGGGCCTGCTGCTGCTGGTGGCAGGGGCTGTCTGAAATCGGAGGGGGAGGGGCATATGTGATGGGGGGGTGTTTGTAGGGGAAGGTTCCCACATGTACACTCTACCATACACATGCACCCACCCACACACACCCCAGCCTACCATACATACACACGCACCCGCACACCCCCCACGCTCTACCATACACACGCACCCACACCCCCTTGCACACCCCACAACCCCTGCCATACACCCACAGCCCCCACAAATCCCATATTCACCCATACCCACCCCCACAAACCCGACATACACATCCAAACACATAACCATATCTTCCCACATGCACACACACCCACAGTCCCCCACAAACTCTATACCCACCTACCCATACCCCTCTATACTCACCCCCCACAATATACAAGAGTAAGACTGGTCCAGAGGACCTGCAGTCCACAGGAGTAGAAAAGGGCCAATGTGGCCCCTATTTTCAAGAAGGGAAGAAAGGAAGACGAGTTAGTCTCACCTCTATCCTTGGGAAAACCTTTGAAAAAATTATTAAGGATCACATTTGTGGAAGTCCAGTAGGAAAAATAATGCTGAAGGGCAACCAGCATGGCTTCATAGCAGGTAGAGCCCGCCTGACTAACCTTGTTTATTTTTATGACCAGGTCACAAAATGCTTAGATGCAGGAGTTGAGGTAGATGTCATCCACTTGGATTTTTAAAAGGCCTTTGATACACTGTCACAACTCATTCTTATAAATAAATTAAGCGGTTGTGATGTAGATTACTACATGGTCAGGTGAGTGAAGAATTGACTTATGGGGCGCACAGAGCATGGTGGGGGACGGGTTGTTTTCGACCTGGAAAAATGTGGGCAGTGGAGTTCCCCAGGGTTTGGTCCTTGGACCAGTGCTGTTCAATATCTTCATCAGTGATTTGGATGAGGGCATGAAAAGCACTCTGTCCAAATTTGCGGGTGACACCAAATTATGGGGCAAAGTAAACACACTGGAGGGCAGGGAGTGGATTCAGGTGGATTTGGACAGTTTGAGAATGTGGGCAGAACAGAATAGGATGCAGTTTAACAAGGATAAGTGTAAAGTGTTGCATCTAAGGAGAGAGAATCACCAGCACACCTACAGGCAGTAACTTTCTAAGCAGCATAGCAGCAAAAAGAGATCTCACAGTCATGGTCAACTCCAAAATGAACATGAGTTGTCAATGTGACGAAGTGATAAGTAAAGCCAACCACACACTTTCATACATTGGAAGGTGCATCACAAGCAGGTCTAGGGAAGTGATACTTCCCCTTTATGTGACATTGGTAAGACTGCAACAGGAGTACTGCATCCAGTTCTGGGCACTGCACTTCAAGAGGGATATAGATAACCTTGAGAGGGTCCAGAGGAGGGCTACCCATATGGTTATTGGCCTACAGGGAAGATCTTATGAGGAGAGATTGAGGGATCTGAATCTCCTTAGCCCCTCCAAAAGAAGGCTGAGAGGGGATCTTGTAGCCATCTTCAAATTCATGGGGGGGGGGAGAAGGCAGCAAGGAGTAGGGGACACTCTGTTTACCAGGGCACCCCTGGGGGTTACTAGGAACAATGGCCATAAACTGATGGAGAGCAGATTTAAATTAGACATTAGGAAAAATTTATTTATGGTGAGGGTTGCCAAAATCTGGAATGGGCTTCCAAGGGAGGTGGTGCTCTCCCCTACCTTGGAGTCTTTAAGAGGAGACTAGACAAGCACCTAGCTGGGGTCGTCTGACCCCCAGGGCAGGGGGTCGGACTTGATCTACTAAGGTCCCTTCCGACCCTAAAAATCTATGAAATCTAAGAAGACTTCATTTTGAGGTATTATGCAATCACCTCTATGTACAGTATGCAAACGCATACAAATCAGGACAAAAATATTAAAATGTGTTATTGTAGATGCTTGATTTTTAGTATATAATTTGTTTTTTTTCCGGTTCCAAGATGGCAGACCCCCTTGCCAAAAGGAGTACTTCTGGAGGAAAGGGGAGGGATGTCCAGTGGCACAAGTCAGGGGTTAGGAGGTGGGACTTCCAGTCTCAAGATGGCAGCCACAGGGCAGGGTTACCCTTGCAGCCCTGGACAGCTCACCAAAGCTCCTTAAGCAGCCCTCCAGCTGAAATAATTGCCTACTCCTGCTTTAGGGACTTTAAAAAGTCTCCAGAGATTACTATGAAGCAATGCAATCAAAAAGGGGGGTGCAGCACACCATTGCAACCCCCCTCTGGATCTGCCCCTGCCTTTTGAAGGCTTTAGAAGATCTCTAACAACTTTCCCATTTCTGGTATAACAACTTCTTGCAACTTTACTGTGGTTTGGGCATGTGCCAGGGTGCTGTAATGGACTTGGTAGAAATTCAAGCTGTTTATAGCAGACCAAGAGATTTCCTTCAGCATTCAAGAGCTAAAGAAACTGACAGACGTAGTAAACTCCTTCCATAGTCCCTCACATAGGAGATGCAAACATGCAAATGTGAGCACTTAGGGAAAATAAATATATCAGACGCTCCAGGTAATGATCATGGCAAAATCTGTTCAATGGAAAATGTGTGGGAAATCCAGTTAGGAGAAAACTAAACTGCAACTTTCATTGCCCAAATTAGGTCTCTATTTGTTTTTTTATTTAGGTTTCTAAATATAAGTGACCCAACATTCAGAAGTTCTGAGTAAGCAGTTTTCCAAAGGAAGTCAGCAGTGGCTGCAATGAAAATTAGGTCACATATTTAGGTAACTGAATATGGAATTGGAAGTTTAACTTTAAGCAATCAAGTTTGAAAATGTTGGCCATGGTTAGTACATAAGACAACTGTCATAAATAAATAACCAAGGGAATTTATTTTACCAGATGGAAGATACTCACTGATAATAAAGTGCATGTACTGAAGCACACATCTACTAAGTACTCTAGAGGTTTAGTAAATAATTCTTGTTAAAGGGCATCTGTAAAAGTGACCTATGAAAATATAATTCCTTCTTGTGTTGTGGCCTGCATTTTCTCTGTACAATTCTGTAGTGTATCAGTTCCATCCCTACACAGAACATTCATTGTTTAGCACAGCCAAAGAAAACTCACCAGTAGGTGCAAAAGACAGGGTAGCAGCTTGGTCCTCCAGATCTGCAGTATGTAAAGTTAAAGGATCCCTGCAAGCAAAATAATGGCAAGAATGTTGTGCAAGTGCCACAAAGAGGTTTGGAAACAGCAGCTTGTCCACACAATGAAAAAACAAGGAGTTAGCCTGCAGTCCAGAAAGTTCACACACATGCTGAAGGAAAACAGTGTAGGTGAAATCCAGAAGTCCGTATTTAGAGGAATGAAAGCACCATCCTAGCCTTGCTGTGCACATGCATTTAAGTTCCATGCAACTTTTGGTGTAATGTAAAAGCTAATGGCCTAGATTCCCTCCTGGGTGCAGGCCAGTCTCTGCAGGGGAATGTCCATTGAAGGGGGGCATTGTAGTGTGGTCCATTGAGGCCATGCTCTCATTTCTATCAGAGCAATATAGAGGGCATGTATGAGAAAGCACTGCCTAATAGAGAAGGATGCTAGTTGGAAAGGAGGGGATGCTTTGATTGCTGGGAGATAAGTTTTTTTTCACCTCATTCATTGAACAGCTTGACTATAGGTCCTTACATACCTTCAATAAATCAGAATGTTTGAGTCTTTAGTGATGACTTATACCTTACAGTTGTGCCGTTACCTTTGTAGCACAGGTTTCTTTGTGGGGCCTGATTCAATGCCCAGTGAACTTAATGTGAATTTCTGAACTGACTGGAAAGGACCCTCACAGTCCACTAGTCCACTAGTCCCCTAGTCTACTTAGGGATCTAAGGTGACTAGATCCCTAGGTGATCCCTAGTCACCTAGGGATCTAGTCACCTTAGATCCCTAGGTGCTGTCCCTCATAATTTCTAATAATTTCTGCATAGGTCTTGTTATTTATTACTTGGGATGCTGCATTTATTATGTTCTCATAAGGAAGTAACAACATATATAATCACATTCATCCCATGCAACAGAAGGAAATTGAATGGAATAGTTAGAAATACACCCAGCAACCCCTATGTATAGGGTTATCAATAGACCAAACTCTGATGTCCTCACTCTGGTTTTTATTCGGCCTTATTCCCAGAGAGAGTTTTGTCTAAATAAAATGGAGTAAAAGCTAAGGTGCTGGTCTTGTAAGGTGTTTCAGGCAGACTGGCCTTTGAATCCGGGAAGAATTCTGCCAAAGCCAAAAAGGGAGGGTCCACAAAGAGGTACATTTTGCAAATGATATATGGAAATCACATGCACACAAAAGCCTATACAGGTTTCCCTTGATTTATGTGGATTTGATTTATGCAAATTCGCTCTTATGTGATGATCCTTTTGTACCCAATATTCGTTATAAGCGAGGTACATTCGCATATATGCGATCGGCATAGGCCTGGAGAACGCCGCATAAATGAAATTGACATAAAGCGAACCTACTTTATACAGTAATGTAAGAAACAGGGAAAGGTTCCTCTGTTGGCTGCTCCTACGGCCAGCTGGGGTGAATGAGGACAAGCGAAGTCCTGGGTGGTGCAGGGCGCGGCACTCACCCCAGCCCTGGCTGCAGCGGCCCTGGGAGCTACCAGCACCAGCTGCCGGCAGCCACTGGGCTGCACTGTGCCTCAAACCCCCTGGGCCTCTGCCTGTCCCCACTTATCCCAGCTCCTGCTGCAGCTGTCCCAGGAGTGGCTGATGCCAGCTCCCTATATCCACTGGGCTGTGCCATGCCCTAGTGCAGGCAGCTGGTGACGGCAGCTCCCAGGACCACTGCAGTCGGGGCTGGGGTGGAGACAAGCAGAGCACTGGGAAGAGCCTGGAGCCCCTGAGCCTGCAGCGGCCACCAGGCCCAGCCTGCTCTCATCTGGCTGCAGGCAGCTGCCCGCCCCTGCTGCAGCTCCGGCAGCAGTGGGCACCACCTGCTTGCAGCTGCTGGGCTCTGCTGCGCTGGGGGGTTTGGGGCACAGCGCCCCGGGGGAAGCAGAGCCCCGGGGGGCTTGGGGCAGGGTGCAGCCCAGGAACTGCAAGCAGGCAGCATCCTCCGCTCCCAGGGTTGCAGTAGGGGCGGGGGGCCGCCTGCAGCCAAACAAGACTAGGCTGGGGCTGGCGGGCACTGCAGATTTGGGCCGGTGGCTGCTGCAGACTTGGGCCAGTCCCAGCCTGCTCTTGTCAAGCTGCATGTGGGTGCCCGCCCCTGCTGCAGCTGTGGGACCAGTGGATGGGGCC